TTTTTGCGTTGGGGGGGGGGGGGGAGGGGGAGGACAGAGGAAGGTGGAGGAATGTGGTGGTGTGTGGAAAGTCCTCTCACAGCACTTGTTCTGCATGGGACAAGCAGTGCTAAATTTAACCTGATCTGGACTATTGACTTCACTGGGGAGGCCTAACCTTAATTTAAAGATACAGGTAGATTTATTAGCTGCCCTCACTCTGTCCTTCAGCTTTTCCTTGCTCGCTGTTGGAAGGCCACAGCTTCATCAGAAAGTCCACATAATTCAATATAAGGCAAATCTCAAGTAATTAGCAGTTGGGGATCAGGGGAATTGGGGGAGGGAAGACATTTCTTGGAAGGTGATGTGAGTGGGAGGAGAGGAAAGGAAGAGTAGACAGCATAGGTTAAGCTGTCTCCAGAAAGAAGTCTTCAATTAAAGCTAATGATGATTGCTAGGGCCCATACAAGAGAACCTTTAATTTCCACACAGTAAACAGTATACCCAACCTTCTCAGCAACACATTTTTTTTTTCTGCACAGGTTACACTAAATAAACCTCAAACTGTTACTTCTAAACCGATTAGTATTAAATATGGCCTGTACTCTGATTTGTGCAACTATTTACAAAAGAATTATTTATGTTTACAAAGATAATATAATGTATACGTGCTCTGGACTTCACCAAGTAAATAGGTCCTTGTCCTGAGCATTTCTCCTTTTGTCCTTTAAGATGCGTACTTATAAGAAGCAATAGCACAGAGTACTTTTGACAGAGTTTAAGACAGCAGTATTTGGAACTCTCTCCAGGTTCAAGTCTTCAATTTTCACTCACATCCCTCTCCCCCCCATACTTCATATACTTCTCCCATTTCCTTCCTATAGTACAATTACTCTTTAAATAGTGTTTCGGGTCTCAATGGTTGTGTCTTTTCATAATTTTTTTATGACTGCATATACAAGGCATTGAAAGTCACGTATTTTGAAATATTTAGTGGATCATAATAGCAGATATTTGACTACTATGAAAGCAATTCACCTCATGTTCTTAAGCAGGCTATAAATGCTAAATCTTTATTATGTAGGAGAGGACAAACAAAGCTGAGACACTGTCAGTTTGATCTAGGGATGTGGACAATCATGCTCTGAAAGATTTAAAAGATGGAAGATTTCAAAAGATTACCAGATCTTATCTTGGGCTTACTGCGCCAAAATGAGATGCAAGAACTGATCACCACAGCCTTTCTAGTCACCTTCAAGGTACTGCATGTACACTATTCATCTGCTCTCTTAAACCACACCAGAAGTTGATTTTATCTACATTATTTTACATGGCACTGAAAGGAGTTACAAGAATGTCTCAGATTCGGAGTCAGAAGTCTAAGGAACAGTCACTTTGAGTCACACTAACAAGAACCACAGAAGCACATCTGCATGTGCCTTTACACTCTTCATATCGTGACAGAACTGCATAGAAGGACCTAACCTGCACTTTGTCATGCACTGCAAAAACACACAAACAGTCCAACGAAAACAAAATATCCCACAGTTACAGAAAGGGGGCCAAGATAAAAAGCTTGACTTAGCAACGTAGTGGTGTTTGGACTTACGCCCCGTTTTATTTAATTCCTAGTAATTTTTGAAGATTTCACCTCAAAGTCACAACCAGTCTACGCTGACAGAACTGATTCTGTACCTGAAGAACCCCAGCATTGAATCATAATTCCCAAATAGCTCATACATAGGTACAGAGACACACTTGGAAGGCTAGTTTGTTCTATTCCTTTTGCACACTGCTAAGCAGATGGAAGAATAGCCAATTCTGGGGTTTTGAAGTCAAACAACTAACCAGGCTTAATTTTAAAAGCTTTGTCCAAGATAAACCATCTTACTTTGTGAGTTCATGATCTGAAAGCAGCTGTTTTAGATGCCTAGAGAGCAACTTCTTTTCCATAGAGAGACGAACCCAGGCTCTGGCCTTGCCAACATCTGTTTTGATCTCACTAATGTTCTGGATATGCCTGAAAAGAAAAAAAAAAGACAAAAAAAGACATTGCCCAGTATTTTCAAAGTGTGACAGTTCTTTTTAAGTAAGCTACGCTGAAGAAGGAATTTTGCCAAGAATGCAAAATATTAGGCAAACTACTGGAAAAAGAGGCATGACCACCATAATATTCAGCAGTATCTAAATTCCTTGCATATCTAGCTGAAAAAGAATAAGAGCCTGAAAAGGAAATATCTGCAATGCAGTGCCCTATTTACAAAATTCTAAACCAGGCCCATTGCCTCACATGATTTAAGAATCATTCTGGACCTTATCACTGCAATATTTATGGCTAAGTGCTTTGGAAAATTAAATACTGTCTTTGCATGCTCAGTAGTAGCTTTTCTTGCATACCAGACACATTATATATTTTGAAAGGACAAGCATGTCCCTTGAAAATCCTCAATTCACTCCTCCCCACTGAAAAAATTAGACGTTGGTAAGGAAAAAGGAAGAAAGAAAAATCCTTTCAAAATTAATTTAGAAGTTCTGTATATTGTTTTTTGATGTACTGAAAAGAGGACATTGAGCAGAAGTTATAGTTTTATTCACACTACAGTACTCAGTGTTAGATAAACCCATTCTTTAGATCAAACAAGTTCTTTAAATTACTTTCTTCACTGAGAAGCAAGAATGATCTCAGAGCTACACAACCAATTTGGCAATGACTGGGAAAATACATATGCTACACTCACGTCTCTGTGGAAATAAAACAATACAGAATACTTACAAAAAGATGAAAAATGTGTCGGGGTATTTCTATAAGCTAGTAGCTGTGACAATATAAAATCTGCTTAGTATGAAATGTTTTTGTAAAGGTCAATGAAAAGGTTGCATTATATACTTTAGTTCAGCAGGTTCCTTCCCCACATTCCCCTCCTGATGTATGAAACACAGACTTTTCTGTATGGTACACATTTTACACAGAAACAAGTATGCAAATCTCACGGGTTTTCGATGTTGGTTTTAATAGTTTAAACTCACCTCATATCCTGGATGAGAGAGATTCTAAGAGGTGACATGGCTGGACTGGTATCAGACTTTCTCCTTTCTGAATCAAGAAGTATTCCTAGATTCAGAAGAACAGAATTTCTTGTTAATAGAAATCCATTTAAAGATTTTGAAATCAATTAAAAAAGGTGAATTAACGCCAACTTGCACTCTTGCATTATTGGTGACTCACCGCTTTGTAAAGATACTGTGGCATATTTCCACTTCAAATGACACCAAAATCTAATCTGCTACACAGACGGTTATGCAGATCAGCACACACTGAGCATTAACACACTAATAAGCTTCGATTCAGCTGAAATTGGTATGACAGCAAATGGCTTAAGACATATACTAATCAAGTATTATTTTCTAAAGACTACCCTATTTTCTTTCTACATAGTAAAACTGACTGGCACTGTTGACACCAGAAAACAGTGGTCAACATGTTTTACTCAGTACACCACACATCATATGCTTTATTAACGTATCACTTTGCACACTCCTGTAACACCACTACTTTTTAAACTAGCACATTTTGGGTTTTTTTTAAGCAATATTGTTACTCTCATCTTTCAAATTCCACTCTAGAATCAAGTTGTATGTTAAACACAGTCCCTGCCCTCAGTTCCAACTTAGAAAGCATAAAACCCATTGTAACTTCAGTCTGATACGCAAAAACGCTATGGACAAAGTGACATTCACAAGACTTTAATACTTTCCAAGTCTTCATTTTTGATTGCTTACAGGACCTTGTGCATGTTAGCAATGCTCAGCTCTTTGCCTAGAGCAACTTTAAAAAAAAAAGAAGAGGCACCCACCACCTCCCCCAAACCCACTGTTCTCTCCAAAATTATACCCTATGCCCCTATCTGACACAAGAAGTAGTGTTTAAAAATTACATTAATAACTTTAGAAACAGATTATCAGTGGATCTTATGTGCAGTATTACTTTTACTGCAACACTTGATATAACAAAAATTAAAATATGTTTCTTCAGTGTTTTTTGTATTTTTTAAATGTCTTTTTCTTTTAAACAATAAGCCTACTGTTCAGTTGTTTTTCAAGAGAGAATGTAAAACTTTAGGATGTACAGCACAATTTTATATGCTTATACTTGTTTTCCACCTCCATCCATAACATAATACGCTTTGCCAGTCATGCAGTGATTATGTGTCATATGGAGGGTGGTATATCAGAGCAATCCATTTTAAAGCCTATCTTTGAAACATCAGATATTTCTGGTATCTGACTACTGCAGTAGTCAGATACCAGACCCAAACAAGTGGACTCAATCCAAACAAGTTTATTTTTCACAAAATATATTGAGACAATACACCAGGTCCATATTAATTCTGTAGTGGATAGAATACTATATTGAGTGAAGGATATTTCCAAGGAAACAATCTCTGCATGGTGCAAATCTGCAGGCAGCTCTTACTCATAGTTTTTTATCATCTTCTTCCAGCGGAAGCCAATCCTACCTGAGGTACTGAAGCTGCCTGATGTAGTTTTTCTCTGTCTGTTTTCTAAGTAGTGTAACAGATGAGACCACAAAGCAGATTTTCCCTAAAATAAAAAAAAAAAAAATAGTTAAAGAAATCACTATCAGCTGAATTTAAAAAAAAAAAGTTTAAGTCATCATTGAAAGTATCAGCCATAACAAAAGCTTCCTTTAAGTATGTTTCTCCCTATAAAGTCACTGGTAAAAACCAAAAATGAGACACAAGTTGGAGGTGCTCGGGAGCTGTAAAGAGGTTGAGAAAGAAAAGCAAGAGTCAAACTACCAGGACCTAATGATTCTGGTAACAGTAAAAAGTTAATTGAACTTCATTTCTCATAGTTCATTAACATGACAAGAAAACATTTAAAGGCTTGTAAAACACTATGTGCGAGTAGAGTTCTAAGTCTGAGGCCGTAACTTGTACTACGTGTCTTTCCCTCCCTGCCTCTCCAGCAGTGAAATGACAAGAGATACAGAGCCAGCCTGAGTAAATCATCTTGTACCTAGACCAAGTCTTGTTCCCTTGTGGGTAATTCAGGGCTATAGGTGCATGCTGTAAATTTTCAGAACCTCAAAAGAGCCCCCTCAATTTCATCAAGCAAAGGATTTGGATAATCACAAACTCAGTAAGAAAAGACAACCCAAAACACAAGCAGGACAATGAAAGCTTATCAGCAAGAATACTCCAGCTCTACACATTATAAAACCAACTTAAAAGTTAAAATTTGGGATGTAGTATTTAGGCCAAGATAAATCTGTCAAATTATATTAAAAGGTGCACCTTGCTCATTATGTTGCTTTCTTAAACCTCTGGTGGCTTAAAGCAGAGTGTGAGGAAATCTTTCACTGGCAAACTAAAAAGATTCTTGGATTCATCCTAAAATATTCTGCATGATAAATCAAAAGCTTGCAAAGCCACAGAAAGGCAGCAGTAATTGAACAGGGGTTCTCCAGCATATTAATTGGAATTACTTACAGAGGAAAATAATTAGTATTACTTATCATCTTCTTAAATTATGATATTAACTTGAAATCCCAGTAAAGCTTCAGCAATTCTGCTTTTCAGAAAAGCAGTCATATTATAAAGCCATATTTTTATTTACAACTTTGTTCAGAAAGAAACCATGACTGTAAAGCAACAGTTGTCAATTCAGCACTATCAATGTAATCTAAAATCATGTAAGGGCCTTCCTGGAGGTGCAGTAATTCTGGTTCAACTCTGAAATTTTTTTTTTAAAAACTATCTTTAAAAATCTCTGAACACTTCAATCCTATAGCTCACTACAATTGATGTAAAGAGCTAACAACCATGAGGGATTATTCCAGAAGTGGCATGCCTCCAGAAGATAAAGCCTAGAGTGTCTGTAACATCTGTGTTGAGAGAAATCTATTAAAAATATGCATTTGGTGGTGAAGATATAAAAAAATCCAGAGAAGCTCAATGCCTCATGTGTGTACCTGACAGATCCAGCTTGGAAAGCCAAAATTTCAAGTCTTACAAAAACATAAAAAGAGAGCATGAAAAATATCAACCAGGGAACAGTTACATCCAAAATGGCATTTCTCTCAATAAATACACACATGCACACACAGTCTAGTGTTCAGCAACTCGCTGCCATGGCAAGGAGAACTGCCACAGATCACAAAAGCAGCAAACAAAGGATCCTGCAGCAAACAGATGTCAACAATCATGATGAATGTGAGAACTCATGCAGTATATATCTGCCCACTTCCTTTACCATCATGTTACTCTTCTTTAACCTCACCAAATAGCAATCATGATGCAAGCTCTATCTATAAGGGAAAAGAAGACAGCCCTAAGGAAAAGAGTGGGACAGAGAACGGGCAAGGGAATAACGAAGGCTTTCTGAAAGTTCAGACTGCTTCAGACATTAGACCCTATGTCCGACAACTCTCCTGCATTGCTCTGGGCAAAGGAAGGTGTGGATTCATTTTGCACATGGAAGAATCAGTAGGTAGCTAATGTAGGACTATCGAGGTTCATCAGCGGGGAAGAGGTAAAAGCAGGGATTGGTGGAAGGAAAGCCATCTTCATTACTATGGTCAATTGAGAAAGAAGAGTCTTCCTTGGCTCATTATTGAAAAATAAAATAAAATCGATGTATAAAACAGCAGGCTTCTGCATATTTAATAAAGGCCAGAGTACACAGAGCATTCGTGGCGCTTTTTTTTTTTTTTTAAAAAAAAACTGTGGATGATCATAATGTGAGATGCACTGCACTTCCTCCATCAGGCCTCTATTATATTCCACCACTCTATTTATTCCACCATTCAGCACTGTTTGCCAACATCTGCAATCAATCCAAAGCATTAACCTTATGTAGGGTTGGCCGTCTGGTGGTCTGAAAGGCCCAAATCTGAGTTGAAGCAGAGTATACTGATGCTCTGTCTTCTAAGACGAAAGCAGTACAGCTTCTATCCTAAGTGATATACAAGAGGGAAGGGAGAGAATCACATGATAAATCTTCACATAGAGAACTGCTATATAGTTTGAAGGAGAGCAGATTTAAACACTGGTGCTTGGGTGCTGGGAACAGAGATACCGAATTACAGTTGTTTGGATTATGTACATTTATTCTGCGCATTCTTTTAAAAAAAGTTAGAATCCTCACTGTCCTTGCTATTCCTTTGTACAAAGGAGAAGGAAAGGATAAAGGCCTTCCAAACTCCATCTAGTCCCACAAGGGACTCGGAAGAGAAGAGCACAACAAACAATTATTAATTTCATACTAAAACCATCATCTCTAACTAGTGATCTTGTAAACATCACTTAACTATCCCTACATCATTCAGAAAGAACCAAAATAGCAAGGGTTTTACGCTTAAAAACTGAATTATCCTTCATGAAAACAAATTCCCCATACCACATCCCATTGACAGCACCTTTAGCATACACTGCCTTATAGCCTATGCAACTTCCATAATGAAAGTATTAAGAACACAGAAATAGTTTTATTTACCATCCTATTAAAAAAAACACCGAAACCCACAAACCAAACCAAACAAAAACCCCAGGTTAAATGGAAAGAAAGTCTTCCAAGAAGTCATCTGTGGAACACACCTCCATGTGCACTTGTACATACCCCAAAAAGAGCAAAAAGTGGAGACAGACAAGGGGGCAATAACTGACGTAAAAAAGGCTGGGGGGAGGACACAAATATTTTAACATGTCTATATACACACAAAAAGGTATCCTCTGAAAGCGGAGAGAGGAAGAGCATAACTTGACTTAAGGAAAGTGCACGCTGCAACACACAGGAATATTTGTTCCTCACCTGTTTGACTTGCAGACCGTGGCTCCATATCCTTTCTAAGAGGTCACACAGACTGGCTATCAGGGTATTCTCTTCTACGCCTGTGATATTCACTTCACCATGACCTAGCTCCACAGCTTCTCGACCCATTTTTTCAACCAACATCCTCTTGGTCTCAAAAATGACAAGGCAAAAGAGAGTTAATTCTTTCCGTGGGAACTTCCAAGATCCCTTACACTTTTTAAATAATCAGCAAGGAAGCACACGATAGCAAAGATGTGACAGAATAACTGGGTATATGCAGTATGTCTGAAGTTAGTGCAAGACTGCGTTTCTTTTACCCCTGTTTTTCAAGCCATGGCAGCTGCAGTGTTGATCACTTCACAGCCTCTTCCATCTTTCTAACAAGAGGCTTGCAAACGGGCACAAAAGCCTCCACAGAGTAACCCCAACAAAGGGAACAGCAGGCCCCACATGGACAAGCTGGAGGCCTAGCAGCAAGGCCCTGCAAGGCAGGCTTGGGTGCTTCTGAGGCCTGGCGAGCCCAGGCCTCCACCTCCTCCCCGGAGAGGGGACCGGGCACAAGTGCTTCCAAGTAGCAGGGGGATACGTCATTCCTGTGAGACCCTGTTCTGTCAGAAGGGTATTTGTGTTTAAACCAAACCCATTCTGGAGTGCATCTCTTGAGCTTCCCCAGTGAGCCACAACTCCTAAATAGTGTACAATTTCATACTGGTCAACAAAGCTCTCACCAACTTTAAAAGTACAGTCTCCCAGTCACAATACATTCATCATATATCTACCCAGGGGGAAAAATGATTAGGGAATCACTTCTGCTCATCTCATTTTTAAATCTTTGTTGCTATTCTAGAGTAGCTCTCAAATGAGCAATACTCCCTCAGGCACCTATGCACAGTCTTAGTTGAGACGAAGAACTAAGTTAGTCTTTAGCTTCTTCTCCTCCTCACCTCCCCTGGTAATTTCTCTCTCAGCTAACGGCAGGCTTACTACATTCCCTAGAGTTGTGTTCCCACAGTGAAAGAGTCAAGTCTATCTTCAAGGATTTTCACTGTCCTATGCCTCTTTTAAGTGAAGGGTGTTATTTGGACAGTTTCATACATACAGAAGTGAAATCAGAAGTAGATGCATTTATTAAACACGGTTTTAGGAAATTGCTGTATTACCTCCACTGACTTAAGGCAAGAATGTGTCTATTTGATAATTATTCTCTTTACTGTGTTAGTATAAACACTAACATTTAATTCAGATTAATATATTGTCAAATATATACTGGTAAAGCATGTCCACAAACTAACACCAAATTTCTTCATTAAGTGCTTGAAAACTTATGTTTCAGAAGTTTGTTAACCCCCTTCCTTTAGTTATGAGAAAAGCTCCTGCATTTTCACCATAACCTCCTCTATTGGAATATTCACTCTTGTTGAAATAGTATAGTGTCATTAGTGATAACTGAAATAAGCTGTAATAGACATGGGCAGCAGGATGATAAAGACTCATCAGAATACTCAATCTCTTTCTATCATTTTACATTCTCTATCATAAATCTGCTTGATAAAGTTTCCACTCCTTGCAGAATTTCTAAACACATTATCTCTTCATGAATTTCTCACTACCATGCAAAAATCTTTATATGGATAAAGCAGAAACAGATGACGGAAGAAGGGGAGTTCAAACATATTGGCCAAGAAATGGTCCATAAAGGATGGATATGAGGTGCAAGAAAACAGAAATATTCTCTGTATTACCTTATTTCTGCATTCCTTCAACAAGCCTTCTACAAACTTCCAGTTTGTTTGTGCAATTACCGATGGAGAGAGGTTAGACAATTTGGGCTGCCGAATAGTGCTGCCTAGATTCCTGGCTTCTTGGATATACTTCTGTATTGGTAGAGAAAATTGACAAATACAGATAAAAGTGCAAGTGAGACTACTTTGCCAAGAGAAAAGGATAAACTTATCTTTATAACCCACCCCTATGCAATGAGGAGGAAAGGATCCAATCCCCTTTCAGAAAAGGCCTCTTTTCATATCCAGCATTATATTGGGCTGAGACACTTAAGGTACTATCTCATTGGAGGTCAAATCCCCATTTACGTTGTCTATCTCATATTAGAACAGACATTGCTGAATAACAAAAACACAATACAAACTGCGAAGGGTATTTAGATGCATAGAGATTCAATTACTCCCTCCACCACTGAGAATTGTCTTGTTATTTTTTCATAGAATATGAAAGTTTGTAATAATTACCCAATAAGACCACGACTATTCAAATGGCAGACTGGTCTACATGGGATCTGCAAGAAAACTTTGCCTGGAGCTTGACAACTAACAAAAACACAATACAAACTGCGAAGGGTATTTAGATGCATAGAGATTCAATTACTCCCTCCACCACTGAGAATTGTCTTGTTATTTTTTCATAGAATATGAAAGTTTGTAATAATTACCCAATAAGACCACGACTATTCAAATGGCAGACTGGTCTACATGGGATCTGCAAGAAAACTTTGCCTGGAGCTTGACAACATCTGATCATTCCTGCAGATCTCCTGTTTCTTACCCGCCCGCCCAGTCTTTCAGGAAGCAGCTGCAAAATGCTACTAACAGCTCTCAGCTAGGAACCATCTGCATTTCTGAGCAAAACAATTTCCTGAGCTCTGCTATCAAGGAGTTGCCATTGTTTTCACCTCAGAGACAAGAATAATTTGACAAATGTTTTGAAAGACAGGTGATCACAGATTGGTTGGGGCACAGCTAACTATGAATAAGTGATAAAGTCCTGTACAGGCACTGACAGAATATTCACGATTAGTATATATTTCAGATTAATAGGTAACTTCTTTAGCTTACACTGAAATAATGACCAACTGAAAATTTAGTGAATAGACAGATTTATCAAACATGATATGATCTTTGCAGAGAGGGAAAACCACATCTTCTCCATCAGCCTTGCACTAAAAGCTATGATATATACATTTAATTATGCATCTTTATCCAGAACTATGATTACAGTCATATTGTGCATTGGACATACCAGATAACGCTCTGACACAGATTTTATAGTGGGCATGAAGGGCCAATCATGCTGGTCCCAGTCTAAACATAACTGCAACTGAAGCTCTGACATGGAAAAGTCCAGGTGCTGGCAGGACAAGTTGGTAGCAAAAAGCCAAGCAGACCATGTAAAGCAAAAGTGGTAAGCACACATGAAGTAATAAAAGCAAGCAGGCAAAACAGAAAAGGAAAAGAGTGAAGACATAATACAATGCAGAACTACCAAGCATTCAACATAAAAATAAATTCATAAGTAATGAAGCTGAAAGGAAAAAAGAAAAGATGGTGTTCAATCATTGGATTGGTGTAAACTCTGCCCTCCACTGGGCACAAACATTGGTAAGTTAAAAGCCACTAAGTCTCAATTCCACAGATGTTTGTTGGCTGCCTCAAAGCTTCAATTTGTCTAAAACTCGCAACACTGCACTTTGAAACCGCTGCCTCCTGCTCAGCCTGATCCCCAGTGTTCATCTCAGAAGGGCTCCCTCCCCATTCTTTCAGACTTAATAGGAAAGTCTCTGGTTCACCTGGGAGAGGGGTCAATGTCCAACCAGTAGTATGTAACCAACAAGGTACAACATAAAACCCTAAAACACCAGCACAGGTTAACCTGGCAGTTGGTACCCTCACCTGAGCACGTATTTGTAATTTTTATTCCTCAGAAATTATTTGCCTCGTGTGACAGAACAACTCCTATAGGATAATCAACATGTGAAGAGTGAGTTAAAAAACAAAACAAACAAAAAAAACCCAGAGACTGGAGGTAGAATATATTTATCTCTCTTATTGTAATTACTAATTGAAATCTCAGAAGTTTACATGTGCTAAACATCATAACTATTAAAAGCAATAATGAGGTTACAAATCAACCATTCTTCACTTCTGTTACTTCTAAGTGAAAAGCACTTTAGCGTTATCTGAGCATACGGAACATGTCAAAGCCAGAAACTACTCGTAGCTTTTTTTATTATGCAGACATTCTTCTATTACATAGTTAGGGATGACATAGATTACACTATACTTCAATAAAATTTTAACAAACCAATGAGAAAATTCTGGAAATTAGTACACTGGAAAGGCAATTAAACTCATCACTACCATAAAAGAATGAACTGGACAGACAAAGATACTTGATTTTGACAACACTATCCTAACAGACACAAGACTACTTTAAAATTCCAAATTAAGCTTTTCTGAAGATATTTAACAAGGCAAGAGAATATTGTCTTCAATGAACAACATAAATTTAAACAAAAGTAAAGCTCTGAGGTTACTAAACAAAAAAATGAATTCTGATATTTTAAACCAGATTATTCTTGGAATTACCCGTAAATCAACACCTGGTGTAACAGTTTGCAGTCTGTATCATATGAATCAGAAACTGTACTGTAATTAGTTCACATCACCCAGATCTTTCAAAAATCCCTTCACCACAAAGAATAACTGTGTCAGCTGTAGAAGCACTGGTGAGAGAAGTTATCAGTTCAGAAGGTGGGTAAATCAGCACCACACTGCGCTGTGTAAAAACAGGCAGACACAAACCTGGCAGTATGGGTGGGGTTCACATTCCCACCTTAGCATGAGGTTGTGCATCAATTTGCCACCTTAAGACGTCTTTTATGGTCTACAGAAGAAAAAAGGCAACTCCAAAAGGCAATGCTTCTGATTTTAGGATGAAATTAATCACTCTGGAGGTGGTTATCTTTCCTCCATCAAATATACAGAAGCAGCACAGGGTGACTAAGTTAGAGACAGGAAATAGATGGCTAAAAATTGTTAAGATTAATTCCTCCCTTCCCCTGACCCCCCCACCTTTTTTTTTTAAAAAAAAAAAAAAAAAACAACCTTTAAAGCATGTGATGACATTTCAGGGAACTCTCCTATACATCAGATGAAATAATTTTGTCCTCAGAGGGGGTAAAAATGGCGTAACTTTTAGAATAAGCAAACTAAGTATTTTTTGGTCTTGCTAAGGACGAAGAACTTCATTTGTATTAAATACAAATACGGGAGAGCAGAGATGGACTGCAAGTAACTGCCTAGACATTTTATAAAGGTTACAGAGCATTATTCAGGCAATT